ATTTGTCAATTAGCACCTAGTGTTGTTAAGACGATAGTTTATAAATTTACGATCTAAAGGGATCTAAAAGGCTCGTAAATGTAAAATACATAACCAAAAACCTCTTAATTATTGAAATGGCACGATTTTTGAGCAAGATACTGAAAGTTATAGCCAAAGTGAGAAATACGAGAGGTTATTTGACTGACGTTTGTGGTTGTAGCCGGTGTACGGGCCGCTGTAGTGCGAATGTGATTTACAAACAGAGAATTTGACCGGGCCAAATGTTGGTAGGTATTTTAGTTGGGCCGGACAAACTTTGTCAGTCTAGTGCGAACCGGGCCTTAATCTCGAGTGTCTGTAAAACACCCCGGAACACCCCCAGAACATCTCGGAACACCAAAATAATAATAATAATAACAAATATAATAAAGTGGATTGTGAAATGAAAGAAAGAAATACACAAAAACATGAATCAATGAATGAATCAATAAAACATGCAAGTCTTGATTGAACATTTTTTCCATCTTTGATATTCAGTAGAAAATTACCAAATTAGTCTTTTATCTGTACTATACACGAGAATTTTATCAAATATTTCAATTCATAATCGCATTTGTCATACAATTATCTATGAAATACCTATATTTCTCCATTTCGTTAAGTTGATATTTTCACTGGTGAAAATAACACATTCGAGGTTTCTCTATATAGTGGAAGTAAGAAAAAAAATTGCTGTTATTGATAATTATATGATAAACAGAATATTACATGGTCGCTTGGAGATACGAATTTTATTTTCTCGTGTTGAAGATCTTTTCAACACTCGAAGATAAAATCCTTATCTCCGCGCGCCCATGTAATATCCTCTATTTATCAAGAGACTTAGCATTTCCATTCAATAATTATCGATGTGCTGACAATTACTTAACCAATGAACATGAACAAGGTAGGTTCTTTGACACGATTACTGACCTAAAATCATGGACAAAATTCATTGGACAAAGTGTATGTCTACTAAAACTTACTGACAATTTCCCCCCGTGGCCCCCCATTTCCAATGTTGGGCTCGAAACAAACCCTCCTTCCATACCGAAACATTTCCGCCAACAACATTGTTAACCAAAATTGACTGTGGGAGGAGGGGGAGGCTTTGAGTAAGCATTAAAACATCCCATAAGAGAGCGCATCTGCTATAGCGCAGTAATAGCGTTCTGTCCAATCCAGTTTTGTCTAGGATTGTAGGACGTACGATAGCCCACTTTTATTATTCTGATGACTAATCATTCACTTATTCATGTTCTTGTGTATATCTTTTTTTCATTTCACAATTCACTTTATCTTATTTGTTATTATTCTTTTCGGTGTTCCGGGTTGTTCCGGGTGTGTTCCTGGTGTGTTCCTGGTGTGTTCCGGGGTGTTCCGGCGGTGTTCCGGCGGTGTTCCGGGGTGTTCCGGGGTGTTCCGGCGGTGTTCCGGCGGTGTTCCATGTTTTAGAGACACCCAAACTAGTGTCGTTACTCTGCGAACAGAGCTTTTCTCACCCGCCGAGAAAAGTAGCTCTGTTCGCAAAGTATAGTGTCGTAGACGAGAAGCCCAGATCTTCATAAGACCTTCAGATAGTTCACTAGTCTTCTCTAAGTTTTCAAAGCTTTTGAATCAATAATAGGAATTTTCACACAGAAATTATGAACAAAAGAAAGCAAAGAGAGATGATGACGAAACACATATATAGGACAAGGACATATTTTTTTTGTCGGTGGCGATCAACGTGGTAAATAAGGGGACCACATACCGCGAGATATATCTTAATTTTTTTAAAATTAAATGATCATAGCAACCCATGTTAGCGATCTCTGATCGTCTAACTTATCAAAATTTCAATTAATCACATAGCTATAAAATCAAAGCTTCATTTTCATTAACTCGGAGATTGCGTTTGCAATCGAAGAGTTATTGTAGGGGAACGATCTGCCACTCACTAAGTCAAGCATCCAGTCAGTCAGTCACTCACTTTCCTGTAAACTGTGTTGTTTCTTTTTCTTTTTTTTCGAAGAGAAAGAAATTTATGTCCTAGATGGGGCCCGAANCAAAAGGATACAGAATACAGCTAAATGGTATCATGAAGCAGTTGTATTCAGAAGACTGGAAGATGGTACCAATGATAAGTTGGTCTTTGTATCAGTTGGCTGTCACGAGGTATATATACTATCAAATAGAATGATTCTAAATTAATTAAATTCAGAGTAGCACCAAGCTGTTTCCAGCCCTGCTGAACATGAAGAGTTAAACGTTTTTGTTAGAGAAACGTTTCTTAGGTTTTRTTGGAGAAAAAATATTCGTTTATACTTAAAAATTGAATAGGAGTTGTCTTTCTAGACTATATCTAATACAATAAAATTCTCCATATTTTCTTAAGGCACAAAGACAGTGAGAGAGAAAGTACRTCTATTTACAACCAGAACTCGCCTACTGACCCTCACGTTGAATTCAACAAATTTCTAGCAGACAACGAATCTATTGTCAATRAAGATCTTGTTGCTTGGGTAACCACTGGAATGATGCACATCCCTCATTCGGAGGATATTCCCAACACAGCCACGGTTGGAAGTTCAGCAGGGTTTTATCTCCGTCCTTTTAACTACTTTGATGAGGATCCATCGATGGGTTCGAGTAACGCCATCTTGATWACACCCACTGACAAGAACTACAGTCCTTCATTCCAACGTTTTGGTACCCCGACTGGTCCTGTGTGTGTTCCTAAGGAATATCCTGTTACTTTCGATGGGAAATACTGAATCGTGATTTTATGCTTGATTTGGCGAAATGCATCTTGTTATTATCGGTCACGTACTTAATTTGATGAAATTTTGATTAAATAAAATACAAGAAATCAAGGCTATGTTTCATTTATCAGATGGAATGGTTACTTTTTTAATTCCTAATAGATAATAACATGTCTCATTCTCACTTGTTTGATTTTATAGAACGCAAAAACTAACAGTATCAATCCAAACGTCTTGGTGTCATGTCATTTATTAAAATAAGAATAGGTATAATTCAAAAAATAGCACTCAACCACGGCAATTACACAGCTAGGCGACATGCTCATGATTCAAAGAGGTCTTGTTATCGACCTCCAAAGGCTCAGCCATTGGACTAAAAATGTCTGGACGGTTCAAGTGGATTTCACGGACCAGTGAAGCAAAACTATCAAGTGCCAAATGCAGTATCTCCCTATCTCCCAGAACACAATGTTATCAGAAAGTATGTTAACATGCATACAACAACTAATATCAAGAATATTGCTTAGAAAGGGAAGGGATGCATACTGATGAAAAAAGGGAAATAAAAAAATGTAAAGSAAAAAGCAGGCATGAATGTGAGAGTGATGTAAGCATCCAATTTAGACATTCTCAGACAACACTGTGTGAGCTATCTCCATAATTCTGACATGTCTGATGATTCGTATTCATAACTGACTTTTAATTTCACGAACAACTGTCTCCACAGGCGAATTTGGAAGAGGTTTCTTGAATTCCTCATTTAAAGAAACGTTTGTTAATCATTGAAGCAACTCAAGCATACGTATTTTTATCGTCGAGCTGTATGAATCATTGGTACCTAAGAAATCTGAGAATCATGGTACAAACTTTTTGTACAAGACTAGCTGCTTTGTTATAYGGAAACGAAAGTGAAATGAACATTGATAAAGTCTGCACCTAAGAAAATAATGAAAAAGGAATTGGTCAAAGGGTCCGTTTCTGAGGGACCGTGGGAATTTGATTAAGACCGCGCTGTCCGTCCATATATTTCTATTTAGTAGAGAGCCAAATAATAATTTCAACTGATAGCAATCATTTACAGTTACTGTGAATTTAGGAAGAGCTCAGACACACCAATTTTGCTCTTTACGATCGAACTATTGAAGAATTCAAGAAGCCTTTCAAAGACTTCGATTCTCCTGTGAGACAGAAGGGTTTGGAATTGGTTTCCATTGAAAAACATGTTGTGCAGTGTGCACACAAGGAGAGATGGATGAGAGAGAAGGGAGACCCCAAAGAACATGCCAAACGCTATGTCGCTACCATGCGTTCCTGGAGCAATGCAACTTTGATATCAGGTTGGTGGAATCATTCAAGTGGAATTGCACTATGAAGTGGAGATCCCAAGAAAATATTCATGGGATTCAATTTTTAGACGTGCATAATCAGCTCCATAATTACATGAAATTACGACGCATGCATTAGGAGTAAATGTTTCAACTAAGCGCTCTAACAGCGTTTCGTTATGATTATGTTGTTTTTATATTTTTCGTAGGGCTGTCAGATTCGCGGTCTACCGAGGAAAAATCCAAGATCGTGGATGAGCTTTATCATCGCTATTAATCATTGGTAGCCAAGAACCCTGAGGATCATGGCATAGATTTTGTACAAGCCCTCATTGTAATACGGAAGAAACAATAAACTGTACAAAAAATTCAATAGTATTAGAGTGCAAATAGAGTGGTTTTCATAAAACCGTGAAACAAAGCGTAATAATGATGAGTGTAATAGATCGTAATAGTCGCGTAGAGACAATAAAAAACGAAAGAGCCAATGAAAGTGTAATTA